CCCTTCCCCCCTGCCTCGGCTCCCCCCTACCTCCATACAAGTAGTGTCTTTAAACTAGGTACTAATTCTGTCTCATCTGAGGAGCATTCTTGGACCAGGTCTATTAGCTAGGATTTGCTATGTAATACAGTGGCAGCTACAGGTTTGCTTCAGAAATATAGCTGCAGGAGAGGAATATGGAATTAAAAAAATCTGAGAGGCAACAGAGTTTGAGAAGCAAAAACATACAGGGATGTAAAAAAAAGTTTCTTGTAAATTGCCTTTTCCCTTGTAGAGAATCAAGATACAGGAAAATGCAGATCATAACCAGTATTTCTTAGAACAAGGCAGGCTGGTTGGTTTGTTTTTCCTACTAAACTTTATTACTAAAAGAATCAGGCTACTATAGAATCATAGAATCATTAAAGTTGGAAAAGACCTCTAAGATCATCAGGTCCAACCATCACCTAACACTACCATGACCATAAAACCACATTCCCAAGTGCTACTTTTTTTTTTTAACACCTCCAGGGATGGTGACTCCACCACCTCTCTGGGCAAAGCCTCCCAACCCTCGAGCAGGTCAACAATCCTGCTCAATTTTGTATCGTCTGCAAACTTACTGAAGGGGCACTTGATTCCCTCATCCAGATCACTGATAAAGACACTAAATAAGACTGGCCCCAAAACCGAGCCCTGTGGAACACTGCTCATGACTAACCTCCAACAGGATTTAACCCCATTCACCACAACTTTCTGGGCTCAGCCATCCAGCCAGTTTTTAAGCCAGAAAAGAGTCCACCTGTCTAGGCCATGAGCCACCAGTGTTTCTAGCAGAATGCCATGGGAGATGGTGTCAACACCCTTACTGCAGTCCATCTAGACAACATCTACTGGGCAGGTCACCTGGCTGTACAAGGAGATCAGGCTGATCAAGCAGGAGCTGCCTTTTATAAGCCTGTGCTGGCTGTGCCTGATCCCCTGCCTGTCCTGCGCGTGCCGTGTGAACACACGCGGGATGAACCGTTCCATCATCTTCCCTGGCACCAAGCTCAGGCTGACAGGCCTGCAGTTCCCCAGATCCTCCTTCCTGCCCTTCTTGTAGATGGGTGTCACATTGGCAAGCCTCCAGTTGACCAGGGCCTCCCTTGTTAACCAGGGCTGCTGGTAAATGATGGAGAGTGGCTTGGCAAGCTCCTCCACCACCTCCTTCAGAATTCTCAGGTGGATCCTGTCCAGCCTCACAGACTTGTGAGTGTCCAGGTGGGTTATAATAAACAGCAAATAACTGTTCACACAACACATTCACTTCACTCGCAGACTTCAGTCATAGTCATAGCTGCCTGCTTGGAGCAGTATTTGGAAACCAATCCCTGCTGTATACTCAGCTGCAGAGAGCTGTACTGGCACTGCATGGCATTCTGGGTAGATGCCTGGGAAGTCCCTCAGAGCATGACACTCTTCACTATCAGATAGCAACCACAGCTGTCTTGGGTGGAGTCCAAGTTATGCAATCCTCTGCTGATGCTTGTGTGCACTAGTAGCCTTGTAGAGTCCCAGCAAACTCATTTTAGTTCTCAGTGATGCAGCATGACCGCTAGTCTATAAAGCTTATCAGTCCTTGGAAACTTTCACAAACTATCTTGTGGTTAGACGCCTTTTCTGTCTTCGGCCTATTGTTTTCTGGTAACCATTTCTCTATCCAAATCTATAGACCATGTAGAACGAAGTAATTTTTATCATGAGCGTTACAATAGTGGATTAATCTTTTTTATCTGATCAGTATTGTTAGGATATCACCTGAAATACCTTGTCCACTGGTGCTTTGTACTGTCAGAAGAACCCACATCCCATTCCCATAGAATGAATAACAAAACCCTCATTCCCACAGGGCAGTGTCCAAAAGGGAACAGCAAAAACAATTAGAAATATAGAAGACATAGAAAATGAAATTAAAAGGGAAGAACTACTGTTGCCATCAGAAAATATGGACATGAGTGTGACAAGAACTATCAAATATATAAGAATCTGTCACAGAAACTACTAGAGCAGTACAGCACAAGTAGTCTTAAATTACAACACTTTCATTAGACTTTTATTAGGGTAAACGTTCAAATGTCAGGGATAAAGAAGCAATGAGACACTGTTTCACAGGATGGTAAAGACAAATTGCTACTGCCATGTAAGAAAGTGCTAAACTAGGAAAAAAGGATGCTTATTTGTGTATAGAAATTTAAGTATTCCATTTCTCCTTCCTGTTATTTTTATGATATATTATTCCATTTAAGAAGACACAAAATACTTTTACTTTGAACCAGCCTTTTAATGCCCATTTAGTGAACCAACATACAATAAAAACTTAATTACATGTATTTCATACACATGCAAAATATTTTAATTTAAACACACTTAAAATCTTTCAAAAGATTAAAGTATCAAAAAATATAAAATTAAATAAGAATCTTCGCTATACTAAGAGCTTTGAGTCATTTGATTGTTTACATTTGGTATAAAATACACTGGAAAAGTAAAAAAAGAATCTCTATATGTGATCCAACTGTATATTTTTAGGGTTTATGAACTAGAGACCATACCAGTAGACCAGTATGACATGCAATGATATCAGCTTTGTCATGATGAAAGTCCAGAATGATGCTCAAGGAATTAAAACAGGCCTGAATAAGTGTCATGCAACTTTTTAAGGTGCAAATTAAGTATTATTCCTGCCTGTTCCCTCCACTTGGCAGAATCCTTTCAGATCGCTATTATATTATTTAAATGATAAAGTGTTTCTACTCAAAATACATTCCAACCTCTTATTATAGCTTACATTACAGAATTATAACAGAAGATAAACAATTTACGCTTTCTATCAGTCATATACAGAGGAGGAAAATGTGTAAATTCAGATATTATGGACAACTTGAAGGGTTTCTGTGGGTACCTCAGTAGCAAAAGGAAGACATGAACTCACAGTACTGGAGCAGGCTGCCTGGCTGAGGCAGGGGCTGGTCTTGCTTCAAACAGGGACCTGTGGCAGGTGAACTTGGGGTTCTCACCCAACCTGTGCAGTTCTGCCAGTCTGTGCCAGAGATCAGGGTGGCATTTTCAGGATATGCGCAGGTCTGGACATGCTTCTTTGAGCACAGTAAGGAGCATATTCTCACGTTTCCATGTGGTCAGCATGGTTCTTCTTGTGCCTAAAAGTGTTTCTGGACCCATGCAGAGACTGGAACTTCTTGAGCGTTCGGTTACATGGTGTAGCTCCTGGTCTACATGTAAGCTTAGTCCTCAGTCACAGTTTGTGAGCAGATCTCTGGATCTGCCTTGCAAGATTGTTTGTTCCTGCTGGTACAGATACCAAGAAGTGAAGCATCCTGTGCAAAATTAATTAAAATTTCCATAGGAGAAAATCACTTTGCCTTGAGAATTCTTGTATTCCAGCACTTTAATTCCTTTCAAAATCATATTATGCTGCTTGTTAAACTGTTGCCTGCTCATTTTCTTCAATATTGGTCACAAGACAATTTGATTCATGAGTTCCAAGGTCAGCACCACCACGGTATATGGCATTGTCAAAACTGGCTGTAAATGTTTGTTGAACTTGCCTTTTTTTATAGAAGAAATAGAATGTAAGACCAGTTCCTGTTAGCAGAAGGAAAATCAGTATAACAATCAACCCACCTATGCGACCTGCAGATGAAGTGGAAGCTTCAGGTTTTGATGCTGTGAAAGACAAAACAGAACAATTACTACAAATGGCCACAGATTACTATTGTATAAAACAAACATCTCCTTAAGTAAACAGAGTGAACTGTAAAAGTATTGAACAACTGTGACGGAAGTTAAAACTCATGCATGTTCCAGATGGACAATGCAAAATTGGACTCGATCTCTTCTACGTTCCTTTTAAAACGAGCGTTATATTGTACTACAGTATGTAATTCATATAAAAAAAAAAAAATAATAAAAAAAAAAAAAACAATAAGACATCTGGTTCAAGAGCTTTCCTTTCAAGCAGATTTAAAATAAAACCATCTGTGACTATTAAATGGTATTTAAATGAAACATTTTTGGAGACAGTTTTACTTATAAATAATGAATGCCTATAAACAATGAAAAATCTGTTAAATGGATTTCTATAAAAACCAACTTACCTTTGTTGACATGTGAATCATGGGTTGGCTCAACTTCAATAACTTGAAAATTTAAAAAATATATATATTATACACATTTTGCAAACAACTGTTCAAAGATTAAATATATACTGCATACATCATTTGTACTTCTTGTTCCTATCAAATCTTAAATAATCATAGAATGGTTTGGGTTGGAAACGACCTTAAAGATCATCTTGTTGTGCCATAGGCAGGGACGCCTTACACTAGACCAGGTTGCTCAAAGCCCCGTTCAGTCAGGCCTGTCTCACTACACTCCCAGTAAGGAGTTTCTTCCTGGTATCTAACCTGAATCTACCCTCTTTCAGTTTAAAACCATTATCCCTCACACTATCATTACATACTATCTGATAAAGAATCCATCCCCACCCTTCCTGTAAGCCTTCTCTTCTCCAGAGCTTTCTCATCTCCAGGCTCAACAACCTCAACTTTCTTAGCCTGTCTTCACTGGGGAGGTGGTCCAGCCCTTTAATTATCTTTGTGCCCTGCCCTGGACCCACTGAGTAGGTTCATGTCTTCCTTATTCTCCGATCACTGAGCTGAACACAGTATAAATATGAAAAATATATGAAGACATTTTCTCTGACAATTCAGGCTGAATGCATCAATTTTTTTCTTAAAAATATTTGTAAAAAAAAAAAACAAAAAAAACCAAACAGTTGTCTCATTAATTGATTTGAACACTTTTTTTTTGTAGGGGAGACATTATGTTCAGAGCTTCTACACTTCCACACTGTAAGGCTTCACAACGAAGAACTCAATTTTTTACATGTGCAAAAGTGAAAAGCACATTTGTACTTAATGGCATTTAAGATGCATTTTTAGGCAACTCCTTCTCCTCCTTCCTTTTCTTGGTGAGCAAGAGTCAGTTAATTGCTTGCAGAATGGGCTGGCTGGGCCCTACGAAGCTCATGGATGGCTTCATTGTTGATCTTTCAAGAGGTGGAGATCCACAAGCAAGAGAGTCAGTTGGTTCCTCGTTGCATCTGTTATATTTGTACAGTGGATCAGCTTACCAGTGCAAGTCAGGCCTGTTTCATAGTGTCTCCCAGCTGATGCATGCAAACACAGCTGAATCCGTGTGTCACCCATGCTAGCTGCACGTGTGCAGATTTGCATCCTTGGTGCCGCACTGACATGCATGCAAGGGGGACTCACCCCAGCCTGTGACACATTCAGGTTTTGCATGGGTTGACATCCGAAACACCACGGGGCCACAAGCAACCATTTAAAATGAAAGGTACTGTGTTGTTGGTTGTCTTGACATGTCTCCCTATGCCTGTGTCAGCAAAGAAATTAATTGTGCCCCACTGCCCACCCTCACCTGATGCTTTCTGCCCAACACACTTCACTGGTAGCATCCCCAGCAGCAGTATCTCTGTTCTTTATGCAGGAGCTCAGTGACTTCAGATGGCTGCTCCTCAGCTTAGCTAAAATGGGACTGTCTGCCTTTCTTCCCAGCACTAGTTTAGTTTAGCCAACTATTCACAGCCTACTGCCCCTTGAACTCTAACAATGATGACTATTAATTTTCTCCACACTGTAAACAGGTGGTGTGTTGTCACTTATCCTACGGTACAGCAAATTCCAAGAAATCAATGCTTTTAAACTGAGAGAAGGAAACAATGACTCAGGTTCTTCTCTGGGATCATTTCTCATTGTCTTTAACAGAAGTTACTCTTGGTTTTGAAAACATACCAAATGAATAAGTAGTTTGGCTTGACAATATTAACCACTTCTTCTAAAATAAACCACTGCATAGAAATGTGGAACTTACTTTTGGGGATTTTGCAAATAAAGTTCTGGTCGATAGAGCAGAAATAGTTCCTCCAGGTTCCGGTTGAGACATCCATGTCCACACAGTGTTCGTTAAAAATTACTGTAGGCTCTCCTTTCTCCCAGTTGACAAATTCTACCGTGCTTCCATCTGTCCATACCCATTCCCCTAAAATTAGAAGTATTACCTCGTGAGTGAATGAAGCCCAGAATCCTTTCTATCCTATCAAGCACAACAACATTGGACATGGAATTTATTAGTTGCTTAAATTAGCATCACAGAAGGCTCATTTCTCACTCTCTTAACAGCTAGAGATATTCAGATGGGAGCATACCAGATGTAAATGCTCACAGACAAAGGTACCTCCATTAGCCTTCAGGGCCATCGCTGTCAGAGTTGTAAGGAAGACGTGCTCAGGATAGCAGAGGACTTTAGCTGAAGCCTGTGCCCAGGACTCATATGTGCCTGGGAGCCTTAAGAAAAGCAGAGCACCAGTGCAAGCCATGCTCTGGAGTTGAAGGATCCAGATTGCTCAAATTTGCCTTATGCTTGTACCCAATATCAGTGAACAACTGCTTTATTAGTGCTGGATGAATCAATTATCTTTGCAGACTGAATCAGCTTTCTTTAATAACTGACTGCTCATCTCCTGCTGAGGGCCATCAAGTAGAAATGATGACCATCTCTGCTCCCTCACGGTGTGCTTTCATGGCAGCATATCCTGATATAATTTGCAACTGCCTCGGTGCCATCTCCACTGTCCCCCAGTCAGCAGCTGCACCTTCTGTCGCCTCTGCTTGCACTGCGGGTAGCAGTGGCACAAAGTCATAGGCCAGCTCAGGAAGAAATCACGGTGTTGGTACTGTTAGTTCTCAGCTAGAACAGATGAGCCCAGCCTAACGTGCAACAGGGTGCCTGCTATTGCTGGTGCTGAGGCAGGGGCTTGGGCAGCCACGGCCAAGGCCACGCACTGCAGCCCAGCCTAGACTCGCTCCAGAGATACACCCTGAAAGTCTGCTATGAAAAACAAGCTTCAGAATTACAATTACACAGAAAACAGGATCAAATTTGCAGTTAAAGGAAAGAAAAGATGAAATATTTTGGGGTGAAAGTAAAAAGTTCCATCAAAACAATTGTGAAAAAAACGTGAAATTTATATTAAGAAATGTTGCTAGGCAGCTCATATAGGCTGCTGTTTCCTATGTTGTTTAGAAATAAATTTCCATTTAAGGCTGTCTCAGCTTTTAATTACAAGACAACATTTTTTTTAAAAGACTAAGAGTGTTTAAATATCAAGCAACCTGAGTCAAAAAAAGTGACAGGAAGTATCTTAACCACTTCAGTGCTAAGCTGGAACCTTTTACAGACTGAAATGTCTAATTACAGTAAAGATACAAAAAGAGTAGGCCTCTTGGTAGTTTATGTTTTAAGGATTTTAGCAGTAAAACTATTAAACATTTAAGAGTTTATTTCTTTCTTATTATTTATTTGATATTTAGTATTAGCATTTGGTATGTTAGTGTTATTTAGTATTCTGTTTATTTAGCATTTATTTTCATCTCAGTATCCTTTTTGGAATAATTACCATCAATATTGCTGAACAATCCTATCCAAAACCTTCTGAAGTCACTTGCAAGTGAAGACAAATAGAGTAAGAGATAGTTCATTTCAGCTGAATCTTCTATGGAAACCAGTGAAGCACCTAAAATAACAATTAAATAGTACATCTAATTTCAGCAAGATTTTACATTAGAAATTAATTATCTTAGTAAACAATCATTACATGTTTGGTGGTCAGCTCTTTCATATAGTAGAAGAGCTTGATAATAAATTTAAATTAGTTGTAGCTTATAACTGATATGCATACACAAACATCCATGTATTATCTTTTGGTTCTGGGTTAAAAAACTAAACATACAACCTGTAAAATACCCTAATAAAAAGATCCACTTACCCATTTGAATGCACATCATGGAAGCATCAGGCCAGCTTGCCTCAGAGGTGGTGTGAACATAGTAACAATGACCACGGAAGGGAACCCAATATCTACCATGCTTTGGTTCAGGACACCTCCCAGGAAGCTGCGGTTGTTCAGTAGGGATTAGCTCTGTTAAGATGACACACAAGTTTTGGTGGGATCTTAAAAGTCAAAGGAAACATACTCTCGCACCACCAATTTGACAGTGATTCCAGGAAAAGGAATATCCCATAGATTTAACTAATGATGAAAGACTGAACTAAACATGGTAAACTAGTAATAAGCTATGTTGGTTGGAGCTAGTTCTCCAATCTGTTAAAGAAGGCTTACACCTGTCTAACTAAATTTGTCTTCAGCAAGGCAAATTTTACTTAAAACTTGTGAAAAAGAGTAATGAGTCAGTGTACATAAAGAATCTTGTCAGCACCACAA